TGGTCAGATGAACCATTAAAGGAGAAGTGGAAAGGACCTTTCCAGATTTAACTAACCACCTACACAGTTGTCAGACACTGAGCAGTCACTCCATGGATGCATCACGGCAGGGTTAAACCTGCCACGTCATCAGAATGGACTGTCGAACAAGAAGGACCGTTATGCTTAAAATTAACTCAGGAATCACAAAGTTCTGGATTATATCTCTTGTGATAATGTCAGGAAGTGCAGAAGTTGATGTAGACAGAGAGGCCAATGCGGACATAGATGAAAACTTAATTCTAACATTAATACAAGGGTTTGGGAGAATGCATAATCTCACCAGTCTTGTAACATGTATCCCAACTCCTCATTTGGCAAGTCAGCCTATCCGATGGGGTATTATAACGATGAATTCATCCTTGTTGGAGGAATATGATAACCTCTTGGGGGTCTTTAAATGGGCTAACGCTTCCTGTTATTTGGATAAAGAGAATAAGTGTAGACAAACAAGTAGTGATGTTTTACAAGATGCCACTTCTTGGAAACCAGGAGACATTAGAACAGTATTCGGGAGGGGTTCAGAGGAACAATGTCGCAGGGGATCCCAACCCTTAGACACCCAATTCTTGCAAACAGTATTAGCAGCCTCTGGCAGGCAGGCTACAGGATTATTGAGACTTTGTGTTACCAATAACACTATACCTAATATGACCACTGCTCCTGAATGTACAAGCCTTAGAAAAAAAAGCAAAATTTGGACCAGACCTTTGAAAGGGTATTGGGAATACACAGGGAATGTGGAGTGGTGCTTTAATTGGGTGCAAAGCAGCCCATTCATAACACTAGCAGAACCAATTGGAGGTGCCCCAATGTGCTAAAACATAGTAAAATATCGATCCTAAATTCTACTTTGACAATGATGGAACATTACCAAAACCAAAATTTTTCAAATGAAGATTTTAGGCAGGAAATTTCATCCCCAAGTTAAAGAACATGTGTCACATCGGATGGATATTGGACTACCCGACTATGGCTTAGCATAGTAACTAGGCAAATAACTTTAGGATTACTGACCCTATGTCCTACTTGGAAAGAGAGTCCAACCAAAGCCCATTATTGAGGACAAGCCAAAAGAGATACTGAAACAGAAAAAGACGTGGATACCTGGATGGAGCCTTCTGCAACAGTACAACTTAACTGGGGACTACAAAATTTCCTGTTACCAGGATTAACGGCTTTAGAAAATCAAATGTTGATAGAAAACTTGACCTGGCAAGTGGAAACCTTGTCAAGAGCTACACAAAGAGGATTCCAAATTCTTAATAAGCCAGTCCAAGCTGATACTGAAATGACTTTACAAAATAGGCTAGCCCTAACTTTGCAACTGGTTAAAGAACAAGGAGCGTGTGGGTATCATAAATTAGACAAAGAACATTGCTGTATCCACATCCCCAACGTCACTGATAATTTGCAGGAATAATTAGACAGAATGAGAAAAGTAGCAAAAGCCAGTAGAGCAACCGGAGAATCAGCGGAAAATTATTGGCTCAACAATTTAGGGATCTGTATAGGATGTGTCAAGAGCTATTGAGAAAAATATATGGAAGGAGTAAGAAAATTTTACTACTTCCAAAGGGAGGAATTGATACCAAACGGTTAAACAATTTAGTTAAATTAACAGAAAAAGAGAAGAACAAATGATAACAAAGGGACACTGTTATCTAAGTTAGTAGGTAAGAATGCAAAAAGAGGCCTTCAAGAGAGGGAGTTCTAGACATGAAAGAAGCCAAGCTGATAAAACATTACAGCCCACAGACATCAACAATACATTGGCTGAGAGCAGGAAAAACGTAATTGTGGTAGTGGGAGATCATGACCTCCAACTCAAATGCCCCCCCCAAAAGAGGGCAAAACCACATTTGGGGAGCATGCGTAGTTGATAGAAAGGCTTCATTAGTGCTAACTGGGGGTGCATACTAATTTACATTACAAATGAGAAACTTTTAACCAATCCTGAGTGTCAATAACAATGAATATGCAGTGTACTATGAAGATGCAAATATTTTAAGGTATATAAAGTGTATCTTAATTTGTGTGTGGTGTGCATGCTAGGAGGAAAGGTCCCCCATGCACCCAGCACTGCAATAAACCAATGTCGGCTTTCTAAACTGTTTCTAACTAAAGAGAGTTTTCTTGGTTACGATTTTTGATAACAGTTCAGTCTCCTTGAATGAGGTGGAAGAGAACAACCAGGGTCTAGTTGGCCCTTACAGTCCCTTTTGGAATATGTCACAATAGGAAGTGTGCTCTGCAAACCCTCATTCCACCCTTAATGGGTCTCATGGGCCTAGCTTCTGAAAAGTTTTAAGTTCATCTTTTAAAACATTAAGGGCCTCTGTGTGCTGTGGGGTCCAATCCCATTTTCTCTTCTTCTGAAGCAGGTCATATAGAATCATAGAATCATTATGTTTGGAAAAAAGTCCAACCGTCTACCTAACACCACCATGCCCACTAAACCGTGTCTTGAAGCACCACGTATAAAAGTTTTTTGAACACCTTACAGGGATGGTGACTCCACCACCACTCTGGAGAGCCTGTTCCAATGCTTAATGACTCTTACAGTGAAGAAATTCTTCCTAATATCCAGCCTGAACCTCCTCTGGTGTAATTTGAGGCCGTTTCCTCTTGTCTTATCGCTACTTACAGGGGAGAAGAGACCAACCCCCACCTCGCTACCCCCTCCTTTCAGGTCGTTGTAGAGGGTGATAAGGTCTCCCCTCAGCTTCCTCTTCTCCAGACTAAACACCCCCAGCTCCCTCACCCCCAGCTCCCTCAGCCACTCCTTATTAGACTTGTGCTCCAGACCCTTCCCCACCTTCGTTGCCCTTTTCTGGACATGGATTTCCAGGACTGTCTCCAGCAGCTTTTGGATATCGCCAAGGATGCAGACCCCACAACCTCCCTGGGTCACCTGGGCTGGTGATTGTCACCCTCACAATGGAAAAGCATTTACCGCTGTTCTGAGGGAACCTCCTGTGTCCCATCGTGTACCTATGGCCTCTGGTCCTGTCACTGGGCACCACCAAGAAAAGGCCACATCCCCTTTGCACCCTCCTTGCAAATGCTTATATAAATCAATACGATCCCCCTGAGCCTTCTCTTCTCCAGCTGGACAGTCCCAGCTCTCTCAGCCTCTCCTCATACATGAGGTTCTTCAGTCCTTTCACCATCTTCATGGCCCTTCACTGGACTCTCTCCAGTCTCTCCACATCTCTCATGGATGGACACCCAGGAGACCATTGTCCTTATTTACTGGTCATGATCAACCTGGTGTCTACCAGGACCCCCAGGGCCTTTTCTCCAAGCTGCTTTCCAGCCGGATGATCCCCAGCATATTTTGGTGCCCTGGGTTGTTCCTCCTCAGGGGCAGGACTTGGCCATTCTCCTGTTGAGCTTCATGAAGTTCCTGCCAGCCTGTTTCTCCAGCCTGTCCAGGTCCCTCTGGGTGGCAACGTGGCCCTGTGGCCACTCCTCCCAGTTTGGTGTCATCTGCAAACTGGCTAAGGGTTAATTCTGCCCCACCATCCAGCTGCGAGCACTTGGAGAAGTGCCTAGACCCAATGCTGTGAGTTTGGAGAGGCAAAAAAAAAATGCAGCAGAGGGTGAAAATAGCCGACATTGCCCATTTCTAGCCTTGGGACAAGTTGGCCCATCAATGGCATTGTGGGAGTTTTGGGGGACACATGGAAGGGGAAGTTGGATCCCATTGCAGGACATCTCCAGCCTTAGCTCGCTTTGTTTGGATGATGGGAAATGGAGATTCCTTCAGTATGGTGGGTTATGGGAGGTCACCACTGTCACTGGCTGTTCTCACTTGGGGTCACTCCATCGTAGGGGACATCTGCTGGGGAGTTGCCCTGCTTTTAGGGTCAGGACCAAAACATTGATCATACCACACACAGAAGACCTTCCATGTCCCCTCCACACCATCTCAACCTGCTCCTGCCCTCTGCTGCACCCATGGGATGGAGCAACCAAACACCCTTCCCTCCTGGAGGGTCTCCCTACCTGGTGGCCATGCCACTGCTCTTCTCGTTCCCCCCAGCCAGGGGGCAAATTAAGGTCCATCATCCCTCCCCCACCACATGCCCCGTTCCTCCCCTGTGGTTTTCCTGCCTCCTTCCTCTTGCATGAGCATTTCCTGCCTGGGGCTGCGTGAAGGGGAAGTGGCATCTAACGGTCACGGCCACTGCCAGTGACAGGGACACTGAGAATCCATCACCCACACCAGGGGCTCTAGGAAGGGACATGTGAGTCCCCAAGGTACAGGAGGGAAGGCTGATGAGGTGGGAGGTCCTGGAGGGGCACCTGGAAGATTGGGGGGGTGGTGACTAGAAGGTCTGGAGGATGACTGGGAGGTCTCAGGGGCAACTGGAAGATCTGGGTGGACAACTAGGATGTCTGGGGGTAGGAACTGGGAGGTTTGATGGGGGCACCTGGTGGTGTGGGAGGTCAGGGGGGGAGGGGGGCAACTGGGATGTTTGATGGGAGCAAATGGGAGGTTTGATAGGGTCAAATGGGTGGTGTAGTGGCCCACTGGGAGGACTGGGGGGCAACTTGGAGGTCTGGGAGATGCCAAGATGGAGGG